ATTTGGATTTTACAAATCACAACTTTGGCGTAAAAAGTGGCGTATGCAAGTTTCTGGGCTCAAATTGTGCGTACGCCATTTTATAAATCCGACCCCTGGTCTGTTAACGTTTCTCCCTTCTCGCTCTTGCATACAGAAAAATTAAATATTTTCTCTATGGATGTTTCTTCATGTGAGAAGTGCAGTTCTTTACACAGCAACTTTTCACAGTTTCTCCCATTTTTCCCCGCAGAGGAACTCCTCCTATTTTACCCCAAACCAATATGACAGCTGTCTCCTATAACACAGCCAGGTGACAAAGTACCCAGCTGTTCAACTGTGAGAATAATTTTGAGTCACTATCAGAGATGAAAAAGAGTAGAGTTGAAATAATATTGTTTCGATGAACAAAGACCAGGGAGTTCCCCTCTGATGTCACTTCCTGTTTCATTTTGACTGAGCCAAGTTCAAAAGAAAATATTCTAATTATGTGAAAAAATGTGTAAAATTATGTTTATTATGCCAAGTTTCTTAAATATCAAGGTGTTTCCTTTGATTTTTTGTATCTGAATGATACGTACATCACAAGCACTTTAATAGACCATCAGTAGGGGTGGGAGTACCAATCTAAGAATCAATGGATATCTGTATCAGATCGATACTAGCGTCATGAGATTGATTCTTTTGTTTACACTTAATTTGCCCTACTGACTTTACTTTTAACACATCAAGTGAAAAATAAAATCACTGCAGAGTCTCCATCATGTCATCATCAGTATTGAAACCAGAATCGGCAGTATTACCCCTGTTTTTACTTAAAGGAGACCAATTATGGGTCCTAGAAATTTTTATTGTATGTCTGTGGGCTATCCAGACCATGTTCATTCAATTTAATGCACAAAATAATTTTCAGATAATAAAATTTCCCATTTTCTAGTTCTGCCTGCCCTGACTTCCATTCAGAAGAGCTGTTTATGTTAATGAGCTCTGTTGGTAACGCCCTCCAAAAATCTGTTGACATTAACTCCGCCCTCCAAAGCCAGCGTCAGATGGCAAGTTTCTTACAGTGCTCCCAAGAGGACAAATTAGAAATAGCCTTCCTTACATTGAAATTTGTCCAGTGGGTTAGATTGGACTCCCTAGCAGGCTGGTTTTGGCCCATGTGCGATATGAATGACTCTTCCGATCTAAAATAAGTGAGTCAGAAATTAAAAGTTATAACTAAGTTGTAAATGGATAAAGATCTGCAACTGATTAAYTTTTGGAATTAATTAAGATGACCATTAAAAGTCGATTGGCTTTAGAAAATACAAAAATGTCTATAAGTCAGACATTTGTACAGATTTTGAGTTAAAAGTTGGTGTGGTTGGAGATGATTCATTCACCTATTAACTATTAAACGTTTGATTGTCCTTTCATTATAAACATTTAGAGAGTTTGAGCCAAACTTCCTGTCAGTCTGTTGATCATCACTTGAAAAGATCAAATGTTTAAAAGTCATTTTAAATTAAAGTTAAGAATTGTTGAACTTTATTTGAGACTGTTTGGAATAACATTAGCTTTAATATAAAAGTCTAACTTTTACCACTTCTTCATCTTTGCATCCATCTGCA